ATGTATGCCGGTGGTGAGCCAATCATTAGCTACATGGATTAAAGAAGGGTGATTTCAAGTATTATCCATATACTTAAGACGATAAAATGTTTTGCCAATGGATGTCACTCATACTAACACTTCAAAGCTTTCATGAACCACATATTGTATACCATTCCTTGACAAGTTCATGATAGTCTTCACTGAAAATATTCTCAATTACTTTAAGTCTATAGATGAATAAGAGAAAACTTGAAAGAAGATCTTGAAGCACTTAATAAAAAGAGAAGCTTTACATTATACCCGAAGTGTGAATTTTAGATTCATAAAGGTTAATTAATGGGGAATATAGAAAACCTAGATGGGATCAAAGTATATCTGAGTTACATAAAAACAATGATAAATTAGGAATCACTTAGGATACCAAATAAAACTAAAACTTGTTTGGGTTTAACGAGTTATTTTCAGAGATTTGTTACAAAATTTTCCAAAATTGGAAGTTAATCGCATTGACTCATAAAAATGTGAGCTTTGATTAATTCAAGGATTAAGAAGAAGCTTTTAAAGAGATAAAAATATTTTGTGAATCATCAATTAGCCCCTTACATGAGGGGCCATAAGACTTTGTTATGTATAGCGAAGTTTCAGACATGAGTTTGGTATGAGTTCTCACCCAACAAGAAAAAGTCTTTCCTTATTCAAGATAACTTAAGATACATGTAGGAATTTTCCAACTCATGATTTAAATTTGGTGGCAGTCATTCAAGTCTTGATGATTTAGAGACACTATCTATATATGACTAAATATAAACTTTTCAAATACGAAAAGAGTTTACAATATGTATTTAGTCAAAATGATTTGATATAAAACCAATGGGATGAAGATAAATTCTCAGAGGATTATTAGTTTGAAATCCTTTTACTATCAAGGAAAAGTCAATATTGTAGTCGATGCCTTGAGTCAATAGAAGATATAGAGTTAAAAATCAAATAAATTATTTCTAATACAACTTTATTTTTAATTGTTTTTAAAAAGAGTTATAAATAATATTACTCTAAATACGAAGTAATGGTATTCAATGTTTTATACTTAACTTAATTTAATTTTTGAATTTGTTTAATTGTGTTGTTAGTTTTGTAAATATGATAGACTTTTTAGAATGTATTTAACATTTTAATATTTTCTTTAATGATTTATAACACAATAAAATATTTGATAAAACTTTAAAAAGTTCAATTCAATCTACGAAATATGCTATTTAATTAGACTGCACGGTGTAGGAGGCAAAATATCGTCAACATCCTACATGACAAAGATCCCTTGACTAATTTTTTTCGCAAGCGGCAATCACCCAACGTCATACTATTGTTGTTCAATAAACACGTGAAAGACATGAAGCACATGATAATTTTTGTCTGTAAAGAAATTGAAGTTGCGTCAAAGGCTTGTACTTTTGTGCATTAGGAAAATACACAAAAATAAAATGGTAGTAGATGGTTATGGTTTGAAAACAATTTGGTTTGGGAGAAACATGTGAGAATGATAATTACTCTTGTCATATAAAAGTGATGATGTGCATTGAGATGCTTGTTAGCATCACATAAAATGTGTTGCATGGGATTAAGTAACATATATATATATATATATATATATATATATATATATATATATATATATATATATATATATATATAGAGGTAAGTTCAATTGAGAAAATAAAAAAAGTTGAGAATAAGGGAATCATTCTCAGCCACTCATTTAATCTAAGCATAAAAAGACACAGTGGCAAACTTGTAAATATGATAATAACTTTCAATCTCAAATACGTAACATCGATTTCTTTGTTGAATACTCCGAATTGGAATTTCCCAGATTCGCAAACGAACTCAGTTGGAATCGGAATTTTTTCGTTGTTCATGAAATTGGAATCAGAGTTTTGGACTTGCAGTCACAGTCGACATTGAAGGACTCGGAATCGGTACTCATAGGTTCCCAATCAGATTTTCGGAAATCAAAATCAAAATGTGAAATCGATCAGACATAGGATGTCGCATCTGAAGTCGGAAGCTTTTGAATTTGGAACATATATTCTAATCGGAACAGTTCGCATCTTGATTATCGGTATTACAAAGAAATTTGGAATCGGGATTTCAAGGTTTTAAAATTGAAATCGGAATTTTTGTTGGAATGAAATCAAAATCGGAATTGCACGCTTCAAAGTCGAAATCGGAAGTATATGATGATTTGGAATTGATAACTTGAATCGGAAGTATCATGTTTTTAACATTTTTAAAAAAGTTAACTTGTATGCACTCCAACTGTTTGATGAAATGCATAAACTAAATTACCACATTATATTCACATATGAATATGTTTTCTCACCTGAATCAGTATATGATTATTAAAACAAAAAACAAATATGCAAGTCTGTATGTTATTCATATGTGAATAACATATAAAAATTATATATATATGTGAAAACACCTTGTAATATTCATATGTGAATATACTGTGTAATATTCATAAGTGAATATATCATCTAATATTCACAAGTGAATATACTATGTAATATTCACATGTGATATACGATGTAATACTATGTAATATTCACATATGAAAATATCATCTAATATTCATAAATGAATATACTATCTAATATTCACAAGTGAATATATTGTGTAATATTCACAAGTGAATGTATCGTCTAATATTTAAATATAAATATATTATGTTTATTATATGCTATATTCATATATGAGTGATACTTAAACTGGAAAAAAAATTAATCATATATTTTTATTCATAAGTGAATAACGAATGTACTGTAGTAAAAATCTGATGCATTTTTATTCATTTATGAATAACGATAGCTGAAAATATAAAAAAAAATATATTTTATCTTAAAACTATATCAATATGGATGTCTATTTGTAGAGAATAAAAAATCATTAATTTTGGTATATTTAAAATCATTTTTCGATAAAAATAGCTTTTTAAAAATTAAAAAAACGAAAAAGCTATGTTTTTGTATATATTAAGGTAATGATTAGCATAGTTTAAGAAACATGTTTTGTTGGAAAACACATGTCTATTCTTTTCCTATTTCCGCAGGTACGACCGAGACTTTTGCGGCAAAAATAAATGAGTGGTTGAGAATGATTCACCTCCTCCCCTCGTCCTCCTCTCTCTCTCTCTCTCTCTCTCTCTCTATATATATATATATATATATATATATATATATATATATATATATATATATATTAAACTTAAAAAAAAATTGGATGATATAAATGACAACACATCATACTTACTGGTTAAGGAAATGATAAAAATGACCCAAAATGTTGGTCGATACGGATGACATCACACTCTCTAGTTTTATTTAGGAAAAATATATTCAAACCCATAAATAATAATATTTCTTTAAATGTATGTCTTTGTTCAAAATTATATATATAATATTTCTATAAACGAATGTATATATTTATTTTAATGTGTTATGAATGAAATTATTTATTTAATAACTTATTTATTTTATTGATATCATAATTTAAATTAATTTTATACAAATTGCATGTATAAACTATATTTGGCTAATAGTATAAAATTTGAAGTTATTGTAATAAAAATATGTTAAAGAAATTCGTAAAAATCTTGTAAATTGAACGAATATTTATGAAAATCTGAAAAGTATTTGAAAATGGACATTACTTACAATATTCTTTTGGTGAAAAGGTAAAATTAAAAATAAACTAAGATTAGAGTTCAAAAACTATTAACTTTATTTTTTACTTTAAATTTAATGTGTTATTGAAAATGATCTAATATTCCGACTATCAAATCGATGAGTTTATATTTCTTAGGCTGGAGGGAGTGGCCCTCGCTAGGGACTCGCCTCCAGCTAAAGAAGTCGCCAAAATTATCTCGCGAGCCATGTAGCGAGAGGAAAGAGAGAAACAAGAGAAGTGAAATGGCTTTGATTGACTTGCTTTTTTTTTTTATTTTTTTTTTAAATTAAAATAACACAAATATTTGATGTTACTACTCTATGCCTTTTACAATTTGGATGCTACAATTCTCTTCATTCTAGGTGGCTTACCACTTCCTAGAGCCTTAGAAAACCTACCTACGGTGAAAAGGTAAATTGAAAAATAAAATAAGATTAGAGTTTAAAAACTATTAACTTCATTTTTTTTACTCTAAATTTAAAGTGTTATTGAATATTATCTAATATTCCGACTATCAAATCAATGGGTTTATATTTTCCTAGAAACCTAGGTACATTTTTTATTTAATTAACCAAATCAATTCCGTATTATATATCAAGCTAAATTACATACATTAAGAATATATATTTAATAATGATTGAGTTATTTACTGATATTTTTATTTTTAATTTCAATTTTCATTAATTTTCTGTAATAAAGTTGGTTTTAACATTTCTTTTATTTGTTACTAAATTTACCCCCAAGTGTTTTTTAAGATTAATATTTATATGTGAAGAAGTTTGTCAGAGTATAGGTTTTTTAAACTTTTTTATACTTTATTAAAATAATCAAATTAGAAACTTCATAACTTAAAAAAAAAAAAATTTGAATAGATGTTTTCAGAACATTCATCATTATAAAGCTTTTTAATAGAGTTAAAAAAAAAACTTATTGTATTTCTACAATATGAAAACTGTTCAATGACTTATTTAATGGTCCTATTAATTAACTTATTTATTATATTATTGTTTATTTACACGAAATTGTTTTACACAAATTATATTTTGAAAAAATTCTTACAATTTGGAACTTCGGAACTTTTTGATTTTAAAAAGCTCAATTTTGTGTATGCTCAAATAACAACATGATGTCAACACAAAAATTTCCTTGATGAATGGTGTTCGAAAAAAAATATCCTTGATGAACACGTGAATAACTATAATTAGCACGTGTCAAACATCTCCACAACAGATTCTCGACAGCCGTCGATTCTTCCAAATATAAAATCTATTAAACGGACTACAAAACCCAAACGCATCTCGAGAGGCCACTGAATCATTTCTCTTGCTGTAAATACCTCACTTTCTATCTCCTTAACGGCTCGCCGTCATTTTTCAAATCACCGATTAGTTCACCTCCTCCGTCCTACCGCCGTTTTTACTCCGGTGATGCTCGGCGACGTACTTTGTGAACCCACGAAGCATTTGTTTCTCGGTTCTTCGTTATCTACCGGCCACTACGGTTCGGTAGCGCATCGCCGTCATGCTTCTGATAGCAGTTTTCCGATCAAACTAGTAGTTCCAACCACCGATTGTGTCGACCGTCGTTCTATAGTTAACGGATTAAATTTCTCTGATTCCGGCGTATCCGCTTCTATATGGCATGCTATCCTTCCTGCCGGAAATGATCGAGGAAGGCACAATCCGAGCCCCGTCGGCGAAGGTTCATGGAACGTCGCCTGGGATGTCCGCCCCGCACGGTGGCTTCATCGACCTCATACGGCGTGGCTGCTTTTCGGCATTTGCGCTTACCTCGCGGCACCACCGGTGGAATTTACGGAATCCGTTTCTGAGGCTGTGGATGCGGATGACGACGACATTAATGGAATTTGTACCACAGGTGTCCTAGAAAACTCCGTCAATTACAGAGTCACAGGTATGCGATAGTTCAAATGTGACAGGTGACTTTTGGCTTTAAAGTGGCTGATTAACAATTGGCTATCATTACCTTTCGAATTAGATGAATAATAGTTTAGGAACACATCGATCATCAATCAGAAAGTTAATTGGTTCTTAACCATGATACTTTTTCATTAACCATTATACCTGAATTGATTACTTTTACATCTTAATCAATACAGGGGTTCCAGCAGACGGAAGATGCCTATTTCGTGCAATAGCTCATATGGTTTGCTTGAAAAACGGGGAAGAAGCTCCGGATGAGAATCGTCAAAAACTACTTGCTGATGAATTAAGAATTCAAGTAAAGCCTTTCTGAATTTTTTTTCTTCTAACAATTACATGATCAGTTTTCTTGAATCGAACATGTTGTCATCACCATGTAGGTTGTTAATGAGCTCATCAAGAGGCAAAAAGAGATTGAATGGTAATTTTCTTCATCATAATTTGGACATCAAGTTCACAACTTGAACAGTTTCTGGGGTTCAACAATTATGATTAATTCTTTTGTTATGTTCATAAGGTTTATCGAGGAAGACTTCGATGCATATGTGAAGAGGATCCAGAAACCATTTGTATGGGGTGGAGAGCCTGAATTGTTGATGGCTTCTCATGTTCTTAAGTCAGTTCTCTATGCCATATATATGTATAATGTTTTACTTTTCAGATTAAAAATCTGCATAAAGAAACCATTTTTTTTGCATGTGTTCTCATGGCTATAGTTGTACTTTACAGGACTATAATTTCGGTGTACATGTTGGAGAGGGGGTCTAGCAAGTTGTCAAAGATTGCAACTTATGGTGAAGAGTATGAAAATGGTGAAAATAGTTCGATCAAGGTTTTGTTTCATGGCTATGGTCATTATGACATATTGGAAGACATATGATTTTGGCAAGATCTTTAATTTAAGGTTCATATTCATGTCAATAGTATTCAAATACCATATGATTTTCTAAGGATCTTTTGCCATTACTTTTATATGCTATGGTTAATTTGGTGCTAATTTATTATATAGGAAAACTCAACAAACCTTAAGAGCAATATTTTTAGAATGAAACTAGTAAGTTTTATGAAAAGTAAGTATTAATATAATCAACGTAAAAAATGTATTCTTTTACTATCGTAGAGTGAGTTGATTTTTTGAGTTTAAGTGATTTTTAGTAATTTTTTTTAGTGTTTTATTTTAGTCATTTTGTTTAAGTTACTATTTACCACTTGACTTGTTTGTTTTGTTTTGTTTTGTTTTACATTTTAGTCACCGGTGATAGCCAATGTAAATGATGTGCCTATTGACATCAACATGTGCCTATTGACATCAACAAGGAATGAGGTTCTCAAAGTTATATTTAGTTATTGAACTTTTTTTTGGCATTTATGTTTTAGTCATTAAATGTTATTTAAGTTACCATTAGTCTTGTTTAAAATTTTCATTTTAGTCACTATTTTCTACTATCATTCATACTACTTAAAAAAAAAAAAAAAAAAATTCTTCCTTTTCTTAAAGTAAATTATATGAATGATCCATATGATTTAGGGGTAAGCAAAAACCGAACCAACTAAAAATAAACCGACAAAACTGCAACCAACAAACCGAAACCGATGCAAAAACCAATGGTGCGGATTTCATTTTTGCAAAAACCGAAGGTCTGCGAGTCGGTGCGGTTTTTACCAAGAAACCAGTCCATCAAAACCGAACCGCACCGAAGATTTATAAAATAATAAATCACTATTTTATATTTATATTCTATAATATATACATATTTTTTAAAATACTAAGAAATATTAATACATATTATATTTGGACTTTAGACTTTGATAGTTGGTTTTAGATATTTAATCGGAATTCCAAATCATTTTCCAAACTTATTTTTTATTTTGTTTTTATTTTTGTAGTTAAAACCACAACAGAGTGAGTCACTAATTAAGTATATGTTATAAGGTTATAACAAGTACACCAAAATTCAAAAAAAAAATCTTAGTCAACCGTTGTATGTAAAGTTACTTAGAACTTTTGATTTATATAATTTATTTTGTACTGAAAAAAAAATTGCACCGCACAAGCTTACATGCACATTGTTATCGTGTTTTTTTTTAAATACTCCAAAAAACATCAAAGATCACACCAAATTTTAGAATCGGTTTAAAACCGAAACCGCACCGATACAAACCGAAACCGCAAAACCGAACCATTGGAAAACCGCACCCAACGGTTTTAAGAATACAAAAAACCGCACCTTGCGATTTGCGGTTTGGTTTGGCCTTAAAACCGCACCATGCTCACCCATAATATGATTTAGGGTAGTCTACGTATTTAGTCCTTAACTTTTTTTAATGTGTATGCCCCATGGCTTTAAAAATATTATTTTACCCTCCTCTACCCCATCACTTTTGTGGCCGGAAAAAAACGCACTCAATCATCATTGATAATTATTTTCACTTTTGGCCTCCCCCACACACTTCATTTTGATGTCTACAACGTTACTGTCATCTTGATTCTTATATGTATTTTGGATTTCCAGACATCAAAGGAAATTTTCACAAATAATCACTTACCATATAATTGTGGCAACCATTAAACCTCCTACCCACATTCTCTTTCGTCTAGCTTATTCGTGTTTCAATTGCTCCGTACAAAAATATAATCCTTGTGCGTTAAAGGAGGATCAAGTCCCTTGATTCGAGTTTCTGGGAGAACCAAGATGAGATTAATGTTCTTGAAATCAATTGAATCAATTAAAACACAAAAAAAGTTATAGGAGGATCGAGTCCCATGATTTGAGATTTAGGGCACAGGGGCCATGTTTTTGCATGAAGCAATTGAAAACATGGAAAGTTAGACCAAAGAGAATGTTGGTAGGATGCTCGATGATTTAACGTCATGATTTTCACCATAATTTTTTTTCTTTTATTTAAAACACTTTTTTAACAGAATATGTTAACGGAAGACTTAGTTATATATTTTAAAACATTTCCAAATCAATATGTTACTTGAAAATCATAATCATAATTTCAAACCATTTAAAACATAAAAAAAAGTAAATGTTCAAAATGGTAAAGCATCAAACATGTCCAAAGTGGTAACTTTCTCTCACCAAGAAAATCTCTCAAGCCGCCTGCACCAACCAAGAGGCACAAATGAGAAGAAGCAAGTGTCAACCCCTGCTGTGTGAGTTCATAAATGCCGCACACAATACATACAAACCTCAGATAGGTCAATCATTCATACTACGATGAAGCATAAAAATGATAACAACCACCACTTAGATTGGAGGGTGTACTCACACCTCACCACTCACTTTTTCTATGCTACTTCAGCTTTCCACTCACTCACCATTCACTCACTAAAAGCTAGGAAATAGTCATCTTTCACTTCCTCTCATTTTTTGTGTTTTTTGAAAAATATTTTATACCAATATTAAATTTGTAGGGAATTAAAAACTATAAATTTTAATATATTTTTTATAATTTATATATATATATATATATATATATATATATATATATATATATATATATATATATATATATATATATTAAAAGTTAAAAACAATAAATAAATACCAAAAATAAAGATGGTCATTCACATTAGGAGAGAGAGGGCGGGGTACCCTCCTTTTACCCTTTTCCCGCACCGCCTAAACCGTACCCAGGGTGTGATGTTCCAGGGTATGGTTGCCATTTCCCCTTACCTTTCCCACTTCACTCCTTCTAGCCTTAGCAAACAATTATATATCATAATCATTCAGCTACAATACAACCACATAACTTTTATGATCAACCACATATCATATAAGCAACCGCATAACATATAAACAATCACATTTCATATATAACCAACATCTTATTACATATAATTCAACCTTTTAATATATACTCAACCTTCACTACATAATCAACCTTTTAATATATAATCAAACTTTTAATATATAATCAACCTTTCATTATATATTCAAAGACTGCACTTTCGCCACTTCGAATTTACGAAATACAAGTACATCGCAGTGTCGTTCAAGAATCGGTACGAGTCGTGCCAGTTTTACCGTAAATCCCACATGTTTCTTTATCTTGCCACGAACGTGGACCTACGTCACTCCACTCCACGAACACCAAAGTGCTTGTGAACCATTTGTCACACGACCATCTAGAATGACTGTTAAAACGTTGTCGCGGGCGTCTTAAGCAAATAAAATTTCACTGTCCGCGTACATTAAAGGATAACACAGGGAAGCAGGGTCGAATCCTCAGGGACACAGCCGGATGGCCAATGCCTCTTTGCGTAAGGCACATACTAGTCAAAAACAAAAAAATATAAAAAGGGGGTGTTTATTATTAATTAAACTAAAAATTGTAGTGAAATAAACTAAATGAAATTCTATAATAAAAAGTGAATTCAGTTCTACTACGACTTTCCTAATCATGCAATCAATACAAACCTGGTTATTCAAAGTGTGTTCTATCTAAGTTGGTACTGAAAACTACTAATAAGCTCTAGTAAGTTCTCTTTTACCTAGTTAATTAACCAAAACAAGCTCTTTAGTTAATCCTAACTTTTCACTTATCTAATTAAACAAGCTCTTAATTAAATTCAGAAAAACTGCATTAAGATCTGTGTAAAATTCTCAGAAATATTCAATACTTCTTACAAGCTCGGAAGCATAAATATATGAATTTTCAGTTTATATCATAATTAAATCCCAACACGGAACCAATCTGATACTTATTACTTATTACTAGTTGATTAGAACAAATACAGATTCCATTAACTGATTAACTAAAATGATTTAATCCAAAATTAGGTGATCAAGCTAAAAAGAACTAAAATCAAACATTCATTAAGTATCACAAATTAAAAACCAAGTCTAATGATTGATTACATAAAAAGTATTTGATCTATGCGGAACTGAAATCTAGGGTTTAGTCAGACATTGCTAAAATCCAATCAAAAGTAATGAAAAAAATATATTAAACTACTAATTCTTACTAAACTGAATGATTGAGATGATCCACAACTTTCAGATCTTCAGAAAGTGATGAAAAAAAATGTAAAAAATCGCCTTCAAAAGTCGTTTTCGTTGTCTGGGAACGTCTTTGGTTCAACTGAGACAATATATGGTATTTATATAACATACTTGGCAAGAAATAAGGGTTTTGGTAATAAGCATGGCCCGTGCTAGGTCATCGCAAATTGAGAATCCGGCAAAATCAGAAAAAATAAAAAAACAGGACTTCGATGGGGAAGCACGACCTGTGCTTGGGCTTCATAGATTAAAATATCCAAAATAATGGCACTGATTGGGATCAGGAGGTAGGCATGGCCCGTGCTTGGGAGGCACGGTCTGTGCTTCAGGACTGAAGTTTTAAAAGGGCTAAAAAAATAATAAATCTTGCGGTTAAGTTTTGTAAGTGAAGAACGACCCGCGTTTGGTGAGACCTAGCTCGTATTTGGTCTTTTTTTCTTAGCGTTTTGGCTCCAAATAAGCTCTAGATATGCTCCAGTTATGCTCCAGATATGCCCCAATTATGCTCCAAATATGCTCCATTTCAAATTACCTAAAATAGACACCAAAACATGAGCAGTACGAGAATTCTTACGAAATACATGAGCCAAACAGTATTTAACTAATGCACGTGAAAAAGCATAAAATATGATGCAAAATGCTAATAAAAACTGTTCTAAAAGATGCATAACATGTCATCTATCAAATCTCCCAAAGCTTAAACTTTACTTGCCCAAAAGTAATAGAAAGATTAAACATTGTAAACAAAATGGAAAGATTTAAACGACATAAAAATGAACTTAGAATAAAAACTACAATAAAATAAAAGAGACTAAAAACTTTAACTTCAATAAATAAAACACTAGATTTATATCATAATTTTCAATTCACCAAAACCTTGCCCACAAATATCACACAAAATAACCTAGTTTTAGTTCACCAATTATGTCTCACCTCAATGCATATATTTGTGCCTAAAATCCTAATTACTTTCGAAGTCCTAAATACTCACATTCTTCATAAACGTTCCCCGCTTATTTTAAACAACATTCCTGCATCCCTCTGAATACATCCTTATAAAATTTTCTTGACCTCAAGGTATTTATGTTAAATTTCCAAGCATACATACGATAAAATAACCTAGAAAGAAAAAAAAATTACAACTTGACTAACTAAGCTTTTGGCTTTTGGAATTTTTTTCCTTATTTCTTCATTTTCTCATAATATTCGCACTTTGCAAGCTCTTTATTCTTTCAACAACTTTATTCTTTTTCTTTTTTCAACTTTTTTTCTGAACTAAAACCTAAAAGAAAAACATATGCTTAAGCAAAGGAACTTAACCTCAACCCTTAATTGTTAAGGTATTAACCTAGTGTGTAATGACTACATAAACTTTCATGTATACATTTCAGTA